AAATGCTTTAAGAAATAAACACTTAAAAAAATTAAAAAAACCAAATACTGCCAAGGTAGAGAAACTCTGCTCTCTAGACCTGCTCTCCCTCCGTTTACGCCTACTCACCATCTGTTTGGATGCTTTAATGGCACAGTGGACGACCTGTGACGGAGCACCTCTGACCCACAAAGCCTAAAACCATTGCTACCCGGTGCTTTCCAGGAACTTAGTAGGTACTTAAAAGTTTGCTGACCTCTGCTCTAACCGACCCTGCCTCCACATACCCCCGACCGTAAAGGCGGCCATACCTGCCCTCGAGACGCGACACTTTTATGGTCTATTACCTGCCAATGAACGCGTTCCCGACAGAGTCGGTTCTCCGCGGCTGGTGGCTCACGAGAAAGACGAGAAACCATCCTTCCGGCCCCTTTGCTCTGCGCCAGGCACTGTGCTGAGCCCCTTCCGTGCGCTGCTCCAAGCGGCCTCCTGACCCCACGTTTACGGGCGGGGAAGTGGGCTCCAAGCTGTGAACTTAATCATCAGACCGTCGCTGAGTCCGGGTGGACGGAGACGCAGGGAGCAAAGATTGCCCAGGCACGGATGTGGGCGACACGCGGAGCCTCAAACGGCAGGGGAGGGTTCGCCAAGGCACGGGGGCGGGCGACAGCCACGGCCGGCAGGTCCTGGGATGGCACGGGCAGAGTCCGCACGCCCAGCCCAGAGGACGTCCCCCCAGAACCGGCCCGGGGCACAGACGGGGGCCTCTCAGGAGAGGAGGGAGCACAGCCTCATCACAGAGAAGGAGCATCTTGGTTTTCCTGTGGTTTCCTTGTTTTCCAGGCCCAGAGCCACGGGCTCCCCTGCGGAGGCCCGAGGCGTAAGAATGCGCTTTGTTGATTGTGCACAACGCCGGTTCCAGCCACTTGTCTCGATGGCCCAAGGCCCAAGTGACAAGTGAGAACGCAGTTAACGCTTGTGACATCTGCCTGGCCTCAATTACCCAATGCTGTCCCGGCCCCTGCTGCCCACCCAGCCCTGGAAGGACCCCTCCCAGCCTCTGGGTCATCAAGGCCTCCTGTTTTCTCTCGCTCGGCCTCTGGAGAAACAGGATGTGAAGCAACACCAAGGGCAAAGGCACCTTGGAGCCAGCTGCGCTGGGGGCGGGACCAGTCGCCAACCTCGGCTCTCTGGGACTTTGTCTCCCCAGCGGCCCTGGGCGAACGGCTCACCTCCTGGTCCCGTCCCAGCCGAGCATCGCACTTGGGACAGCATACGCCCCCAATCCTTTAAATGCCTCGCAATCCCCAGAAGTGTGAGACGGGCCAGTGAGGCCACCTCATCGTCCTCTTGAACTGGAAGGGTAGGGCTTCTAGACGTCGCCCTCCCGGGCCTCCCAGTGATTTCTTCTCTCTACAAGGGGGAGGAGGAGGACCCTATAAAGAAGGACAAATGCTGAAGTCCTTGTCTTGGGAACAAGGGACCAGGTGTTTTCACGTCTGTAAGGACAGAGGCATCTCTGGCCCAAAGCAACGTCTCCATCATCTCCCGGCAGCTTGGAGATGAAAGGCGGCCCCGGGGAGAACCACGGGCCCTGATCTGGAGAGCAGCCAGAAGCACTCCTGGGAACCTCCGAGGCTCTGAACTTGTCTTCACAGCCTGAACCTTGACCCTCAGCATACAGGCTCTCCGCTTTCCACCTTCCTACAAGAATGTGGGCGAGGTGACGGCAAAATCCTTCAGGCCGTAGCCCCGGTGCCTACAACAAATCGCTGCCATATCAAATGTTTGTTGAGTGAAGAAACGTGTATCCAGTGCAGGCGGAGAGGCTCTTAGCTGCAGGAGGCTGGTTCTAACAAGCAGGTCTGACGGGGCAGGGAGAGTCCGGTGTTGCTCTCCGGCCTGGGGGGGGGCAGGGCCCGGGGCCAAGCTGTCCGTGGGCACCGTGCCCAGGCCCACGGTACTTTTAGGGGCCCGTGAAAATGTTTTAATGTCTCTT